AATCCCTTGATTGTAAACGGATATGGCTATCTGGCTATGGAATGAGTGAGTTCGGTTCCTTTCAGCAATATTTCTGTTACCTCGCGACATGTCAGCTTAATGAGCCTAGTCCGAAAAGATTGAGGTCTCAGACGTAACCATTTCGGTGAAATACACGAGCTGGCAAATCAAGAACCTTGATTCGGGCGAACATTTTAAACAACAGGTGTATTTGAACATGCACGGCGGGACCTGTTGTCATATGGGTTGTGTTTGGTGACTTTTAAACGTTCATGTGAAGCTCTACCAGTTTGAATACCAACATACAAACTAATCAGATATATGACAAGGCGATGATAACAAATAAACACTTGAATGAAATTATACACTTTGAAATTGGATTTGACCCATAAATTACAAACGTTATCAAAAGGCTAATAACAGTCGCTGAAACAGTGCAATTAGTGTCCAAAACACAACTATGATACCCGTATCAAATACATCACCGCCGAATAACGATTTGTTGTTTGTTTCATGTGTAGCCACCATCAAACTTGGGTGTATACTTTTTTCTGCCCGGCAGTGGATAAGACATCTGGTACGAATTGTCTGTAGTGTTTGTTTGTTTGTTTATTGTTTAACGCCGCACTCAGCAATATTCCAGCTATATAACGACCGTCTGTAAATAATCGAGTCTGGACCAGACAATCCAGTGATTTGCATCATGAGCATCAATCCACGCGATTGGGATACGATGACCTGCATCAACCAAGTCAGCGAGCCTGACCCCCCGATCCCGTTAGTCGCCCCTTACGACAAGCATAGGCGTCTTTAACGGCAAGCATAGTCGCCTCTTACGACAATCATAGTCGCCTTTAACGGCAAGCATGGGCTGCTGAAGACCTATTTCTGAAGCGGATGACTGATGAAACATTGAATCAATGGGGACCCTACATGGGTCGGTGTTGGCGAGACAGCATGCCCTGCTGGGCAGTTTGTTGCAGGGCAAATCTTTAACTAACTCCCAGTTTCTTAAATGTACACCACTACGGTGCGTTATGTCCATTGTTTCAACAGGATATTGTAAATTAGATCCCCACCACTCAACGGGCTTTATAGATTATTTTCTAACACTTTGAGAAATGTGCAATTGCGTATTATACATGGGAATATTTACTTGTTAATTTCACAATATTGTAGCCTAGCAATATGCGAAGTCGAGACATTGTCTTTGTTTAAACAATTATGATGAGTGAGTGAGTATGGTTTTACGCCGCTTTTAACAATATTCCAGCAATCACGGCGGGGGACACCAGTTATGGGATTCACACATTGTACCCATGTCGGGAATCGAACCCGAGTCTTCGGTGTGAGGAGCGAACGCTTTAACCACTAGGCTACCCGACCGCCCCTCTATTATGATGACGTCACGCTATTATTGTTGCAGCTGATTCTGAGCGAGGTTTTCACTGCCCAGTCTAAGCGTCCATTGTAAACAATAAAATTAAGGCAACAATGGGGCGTTGTGCAAAAACTATTGAGAAATTATCTTTGAACTACATCATGGTTTAAGTCAGAGAATGCGCTCGAATCGGTTGATTCCGGAAGGAGAATTAACTGGCCCCTTTCACACTTGCAAGGGCTGTAATTTCAAGCTTGCTCGGACTGCTAATTTCCCTGAATCTACTACCTATTTTAAGGAATACATTCCAAGCACAAAGGCCTGATGATACACCTAAACATTTCATTTGAAGACGTTTCAAAGTTGCCATCTTCACCTGACTGTTTTCCTCTTTTTGAAAGCCGTTAATGAGTGTTGATGTCCAAAGCGATTACAACCACCTAACGTTTACCATTGTAAATTGAGATTTTATGTTATCATTAGAATTTGACGGTAAAGCCTCGTTACTGTTCATGGGACCAGTAAATAAAAAATGAGTTTAGGATTCGGTCTTTGATTAAAAAACGGTATCAATATCTCTTACGCAAAAGAGATTTTCACGATAACAGTATAAAGTTGTGGTTTATTTTTAATTCCCATTTTCACAGAATGAGTGTTTGGCGAGTGTACTACACTGATGTCTTCATGTATCTCTCTTCAGTTATGACAGGCTTGTACAGTGTCCAGTTATATTAACACATATGTTAAGTTAAAAGAAAATCAGATTTTTCATAATCATAAGAAATACCTGCTAAAAGCAGAGTCCATTGTTCGATTCCGACTATATCATCAGCAAGTGTTTATGAATCACTATCAAACAGTGATGATACCAGGTGTTCGCGAACAGGCTGCCATTTTTCTTACTTCTATACTTCTTACTTATATTTTGATGGACAAATGTACTCTTTGCCCTGACCGAGGGAAATATACCCATCACGCTCATCATCTGGCTGGTGGTCAACACTTCGTATATCCTGGACATGGTATATATTTTCTTCATTCCCTTTCACCTGGTAATATATAGTTGATTGTAGAATTCGACAAATGATGGCAGTTTATATACGTTATATGTTTCAACATTAAATTAAGATGAACTCATACTAATTCATATATCCTCTGAACCTCAACATCAAAGCTAAAGCAAAGCTGCTTCTCGAACAAAGACCATCCTGGAGGCTGGTAGGGCGATGGGGTAGTCTAGTGGTAAAAGCGTTCACTCACCAAACAGAAGGCAAGTGCCCGAGACCAATTTGGGTACTTTCGTGCGAAAACAATTTCTGTTGTCCCTCAACACTGCTGTTTTAAATAATTGTCTTTTCATAATCATTAATCACAGTTCCTGAGGTTTGAACTAAGATAAGAGTTTTTCAGTTAACCTAAATGTTCATTTGGTCTTTCCGCATAAGCATGTGTTTGATAGATTATTGCAGAAATTAAGGCATGTGATTGTTACGATTGATAAAACCGTTGTGTCACAATACTGACATCATGCTTCAGTATGGTTCAACAGTAAACAATCGAATCCTTGTGTAGACCTGATTTGAGAGTGCACCTTTATTTCCAAATTTGAAGAAGGCAGGTTCTACAATAGGTACAGCGTGATTCTGATCACACATTCCAAACAGTTCTCACAATCTGAGTAAAGTATCTGAGTGAAATTTATATTATAACTGCAACGTTTTATTCATGGTAACCCGGTGATTTAACCTCCTTCAAATTCGACATGAATTTTCATTTTGATCAACGCTAAAATCTGTATTTTGCCTACCAACTTTTACTTTTTTATTTTCATTATACAATTTGCGTCACGGACGTTTATATGAGTGTGTTCTGTGACGACAATCTCAAATTAAGGCAGGTGCCTTGACTTAAATTAACAGTATAGTGTACAGCAGTTCAGAACACGTAGGTGCAAAGGGGCCTGGCATACTGCTGTGACTCAGGACGAGTTGACAGCACTGCACAACCTTGTAATTGTAACAAGCAGTTGCATAGGCATCACATGGACACAACATTGGATTTACATTTGAAAGTAAACTGCAAATCCTGTTCATACATTAACAGAAAATATTACCCATAAAGTAATTAAATGAATACTTATCAATATTATACACTATTTTTGTAGTTCCGAATTACAAGAAATCAATATTTAAGCACGAAACGCGTGAAGATTGAAAAAGTATTTCCAAATATAGTTCTAGCAACCTTTCTCCTTAATGAACATGATCGTGCGAAGAAAAGTATGATTTTACATTATTATGAAAACTGTGAATGCTGAATAATCAAAAAAGTACATAAGATGTCGTTTTGAGTTATTGCCAGCAATATGAAGAAACACCTCCATTCGTCTACATTCGTCTAACAGGGATGTTATAAATGTATCTCAAGTGAGTTGGTTTCATTATTCTTAGTTTTTTCGGTTACGCAGATGCATATCAAATTTAGCTATCTACTGTGCACTCTTCATGGAGTCGACTAACTACTTGCTGTTCTGTCAAGTTTAACAAGTAAGCATATACGAATATTTTATCTAAAGTATCAGAAACATAAATTATAATTAACATTCATCCTTAGGTCGTTATATCATTCTAAGCTATCACGTGTGTGATATTGTGTTAGTGGATGTGAATTACATAGGGATGTGGGTGAAACAACACAAAACATTACACAATATATACCCCTTGGTCAACAGCTCAACTTTTTGTGAACACCTTGTATTGTCACTATTTGATAGTGATTCATAACGACTTCCTTATGATATATCGTCGGACAAGGGTTCTTTCTCATGATTATGGAAAATTTTCTATAGCTATTATTTTAACACATTTTCTGCCCATAATTCTGTGTCCCTCGCTGGTGTTGTTCTTCATATATTGCACGAGACAACCAACCACAGAAGTGAATCCAGATATAAAACAAACATCATGTTCTCACATCGTATAGTGTATCGGAGATCACAACTTATGGTGTCGCCAGTTTCACTTCGTCGTGCCGTTTTCATTGGCGAATTCACAGATGCAATTTTGAACTCCACCGAAAATAATATTAAGTAAGCTGTGAAACATATCTTACTATTAAAATTATCAGGTACACTACAGACTAAAATTACTTCTGATATTGCCTATACAAGTTCAAGGGAGACAACAATAGAGTTCATTGTTGCCGACGTTTCGCAATTTAAGGTCATATCCACAATAGGCAAAAATGAATGTGGTGTACAATGGATGGTACTTTATGGAATCAGTCTTAAATTGGTGAATTTCTTGGAGTGAGCCTAATCACTGACCCGCACAAAATCACCCCACATGACAGTACGTGATGTTTATTCCAGCTCTCCCAGGGACCACGAGTGGCCCAAACGTCTATGTCGACGTAGTTCGCTGTGCAGAGTTGCATTACTGGGCGGCCCAGGGTTTTGATCCTAGGTTTCCCTGTACACTACTCGTGCTCAAAGGTTTCAAAGTAGTAACCGCCTAAGACCTTCACTACGGACATGTTCCACGTTAAGCTGGCACGAATAATGGCGTTATCCGAACTCACTCACTCACAATCTCTCTAACGATATCAAAGCGTCACCTACCCTTCTACACAGTGAGCTGCAGTGAGCACCCACTGGGGGTGTATAAGGACGCCTCCACATCTATGCCAAGGCTCCACAGCAGCGATGATCTGAAGCGACACCTGCCAGGGCCACTTCCGAGGTTGGGACAGACTTCCTCCGATGATCATGGGTTCCGACATAACTCCACATTGTTCTGGAATAGACGCAGGGGAGAACACAGTGAGAATAGGATATCGCTTCCGTGTGTTTCATTGAGAAACAACGTTACACATCACAGTCAATTAGATAGAAAACACTCTGTAAATATAAAATAAATCGACAATTCTAGAGATTAACCAGAGACTTCTGTTGAAACAAACGTTATGAGGATTTGCTCTTACGTCCAGGTTTTACAATTGGCCTCAAACAGCATGATTATATTATGAACGAACAATAATTTATAAAAATATTTCGAAACTTGGAAAAGATCACACCCAAACTAAAAACAAAATGAAAGCGGTCGTGGTGTTTGGATTGAGTGGTCTGTACCACATTGGAACACAATCAAATATGCCAAATATGGGTCATCTCTTTATATAGAAATTGTTGTCCTGTTGGCACCATTCCTCCCGACTCAGCATGTGTGACGTTCACCTTTCATTGATGTTAACTGACACTGATTTCAAATTCCCTCAGAAGTTCACTACTTCTCACATTTTCACCACGTGCTTCAGGTCGTTATCGCTGACCCGACATTGGGACATTAGTGCTCATAACAACAACCTGAGTAACTATTGTGGACCAAACAGTTGGGTCCGGGCAGTTGTTGAGATAAGCAATAGCAAATGATCGGCTTTCAAGTTGACCTTGACTTCCGGGAATTCCTCGAATGGCGTCCAGTGTTTGAACTGTACTGCTCGTGGCGTCGTTTGTTTAATAGAGATTATATAATGTTTTTTTATATGGAAAGAGTTTTGTCGCTTTTATTTTATTTTTTTTATTTATTTTTTTTATTATTATTATTATTATTATTATTATTATTATTATTATTATTATTGTTGTTTTCAATTACTGTTATTATCATTTACAAAATCAGGTTGATTGCGATGGGCTGATTCTCTATGAATTGTTAGAACATGGATCTGTTTCATTCCTGTAACAAGCGTATTTGTTGAAAAATTGGCAAAGAAAATATTTGATCAGACATGTTTTTGCTTTATAGTAATGTTTTCTGCATGTTAAAACAATTAATGTTGAATGAAATCGGAAATTATGTTTTTAGAATGGTTTTGTATGTGATGGCAATATAGCATCTCATAATAAGTATTGCTTCAAGACATTTGATGCACTACATAGTGAGTGAATTTGGATTGACACTACTTGTTCAGCTATGCCCGATGTATCAGTTTAATGTTAGTGAATGCCCGAAGTGATACAGGGCTTCCGGTTGCCACTTTGGTGAAACACACGATCATGGGTAAGGTGCAAACAAACCATGAAACATAATCCATGCGAACCTGGATTCGAACGCACCGACATTGCATGCACTTCTCAGTGTATTTTATTATTTTTCTGTATAGTTTTCTTTTGTGTCTTTTTTTTCTTTTTCCAGATCTCTAATTTACATTATGACAGTACCACATTTTGTGGAAAAAAATGTGTTAAATTGTGTTTTGGCAGAGAAAATGTTACTGACAACGAGTACCAGAAAAAAAGAAAATAGCGTAACAAAGTCAAAACATTCATACCATTGATTTAAACATGACTGGACAAAAAGTACGTTCCCAAAATGTCCCACATTTGCAATATATGGTCTCCTTACAAACTCCAAACTAGGGCAACTAGTGACAATATCTACGTTCCACATTTGACGTATCAGTGACAAAAATTATGTCCGATTCAATTGCCTATTTTGACTCGTACCATATGTTCTCGTGAAGAATATACTTTCCTTTGCATGTGTTTGTGACGCGTGCCACCAGTAGTGCAGGATACGCTCACGCTTTCGCGAACGCCTGGTATCGTCTCTATGTGATAGTGATTTCTAAACATATGCTCATGTTGTAGTCAACATCAATAAACTCACGAGCCAGCATAAGCTATTATTCCAGCAGTGAAATTCTATGTCTCTTTGTGTGGTACATCTAGAATTTCTTATGATTATGGAAATCTGCTCATGAGCTAGTCGGAATCGTAGAATGGTCTCTGCGTTAGAGAGGGATTTTTTTATGATTATGGAATGTGTTTAGTCGCTTTGTCACTCAATGTAAACCTGTCTGCAGATGATGTCACTGTCACACGAAGCATCCCTTGGACATGTGGTCGGATGTCATATTTGATTGACCTCAACATTTCGTGAGTTAATAAGTGACAACACATTTTGGTCATCTACAAGCCATGCCGCGAACAATGCGTCTTTCTCTGTCTGTCGGATGCAGTCATGTGGTGGGATAGTTGGCCAGTAGTCATATTTGTCTAGACGGGGAATAGCTGTAGACATGACGCATGCTCGCCATACCATCCGTCCAACACACGCTGACCAATTCCATAGTGGAATGACACTGCCCGCCTGAACGTGTCAAGTCACGGGGGAATGGAGGAGGTGTGGGCGCTTACTCATAACGCTGCCTGCTTCGTGGTACTGACGTACAACTGACGCAGTTGAACCAGGTTCCTTCTCTATTATGAATAACTCATTTCACTATTATTAAAGTTTTGAGCAATAGTGGTTTCCAATTCAAGATAAACGTTTTCGAATTAATGTTTTCATAAACAGATCGATATAGTCACTGCAGCAGAATAGGCAATATGCAAGAAGACGGGTACAATATGTAGAGCAGATATTATCACCCCCTTACACTACTTCTGAAAGGATCACTCTTCCAACCAGACGGGCACTACCAGTAGGCATACATGTAATTAAATGTGGATATTGCTGACAGGGAACATTATATTACCATTTCAGAATAATCCTATTGGTGTGACCGTTTTTGGAATGATTAAGTTAATCCTACCCATTACGAGTGGATGTCCCCCTGTTTAACAATACACATCATTGGTTCCTCACACAGAATACCCGGACTAGATTCCCCATATCAGTATAATATATAACTAGTATTCTTGGTGCTCCCCGCCCTGACATGGTTTGATATTACTGACGGCCACAGCCACTCTCTCACACACTCACTAGCAGAATTCGACCCGTGAAGATCCGGGGTAGAATAGATCTTCAGCAACCATGCTTGCCATAAAAGGCGACTGTGCTTGTGGTAAGAGGCGACTAACGGGATTGGGTGGTCAGGCTGGACTTGGTTGATGCATGTCAATGATCCCAATTGCGTGGATCGATGCTCATGACGTCAATTACTGGGCTGTCTGTTCCAGACTCGATTATTTACAGACCGCCGTCATATAGCTGGAATATTGCTGAGTGCAGCGTTAAACAACAAACAAACAAACACTAGCAGTATTCATATGACGTGGGATCTTTTCTGATCCATATTATTACCACGGGGAATGAAGACCGAGGCTTGTGCATGCGTTTGAAATTCAAACGATGTTGTTCAAATCGGTGTCTTCCCGGCAGTCAGATGTGTCAGTGGTCAGATGTCTTAGACGTGTTTAGTGATAATGCACAGTTGCTCTGTCAGATGTTACCTAGGAGTGGTAGTGATAATGGTAGTTGTAGTGGTAGTGATGGTTGTGACAGTTGTATGCACAAAACAAGAGGATGCTAATTTGTTACATCGTCCGCAAATGAACTTTTTAGAGTGTAAGAAAAAATACGATCCGTTCATTTCATTAGCAGGTTGAACTCTACCAATGACGGTCTAAGAATTTTAAGATGTAAACATTATTTGAATACACACAACTAATGAGAATATGACCTTAATGTAAGGTAAGATTGAAAACGGATAAAGTTCTATTTTCATTTGTTCTCATAACCCTATTTAAAGTTAAATACTTATAGTTAGAAAACAATCGGCATATGATTTCGAAATTACACAGTACAAAGAGTCATTACATGTTTCACATGCACTGTTGCACAGCAACGGATCGTTCAAAACATTAAAGTAACTATAGTGGGTATCAGTTTCTTCTAATTACACAAGCCGAAGACCCTGGTTCGATTCCCGACATGGGTACAATGTGTGAAGCCCATTTCTGGTGTCCCCCGCCGTGATATTGCTGGAATATTGCTAAAAGCGGCGTAAAACCATACTCACTCACTCACTCTAATTACACAATGTAAACTGTCATTTTGTTTGTCGTGTATCATTACATGGAGTGAGTGTGTAAGTGCGGTTGGTTTAAATATTCCAGTGAGATCACGGCGTGTCATTTGGATGTGGGAGGACAGACCGAAGTGATGCAGGTCGTAGACATTTACCACTTAACTCAAACCCACGAGCACGGGCATGATGTTGACAAACATTATCAAACCGGAATTCAAACCCCCAATCATAGTTTTCTGGAACTGCGGCGCCTTAGACGACTGATCCACTCGTGCCCCCAATATTACATGGAAGCACATCCTTAAAAGGATATTCAGTTAAGGAGGACATCCGGGTAACTGTTGTGAATAAGAATCACCCAGTATCATTCTGACAAGGCAATTCCTCAAACTACAACACCCCACTTTCTCAAACTTAAGATATATCCCTACTATTAGACTTGGAGAAGACATTCTCTTGAGGAAAATATTTACAGAATAAACGCAGTTTAGCCTGTATGTATACTGATAGGTTGCCCTTGCGTGATGCACGATGGACGTGTTCTCTGCTGCAGATGCACGTGTGTCGAGCTCCTTCGCGAGTTGATCTTTAGTATGCATTTATAAGGCTTTTAACAATGTCATATAGAGTTTCTCTGTGGGTTTCTCTTGTTGGTAATTTTTTTCTCGTCTAAGGGCTCTCTAATATATGTAACATGAACATGGTTATTGGTAACAGGAAGTACACGTCATTATTATACTTTAAGCCTTTATGGAGCAAAACGTAGACGTGAAACGTTGTGTATTTATAATTAAAAATGTTATAAATAATACTCCTTAAGTTAAGGATAGGACTCCGCGGTTATGGTTAAAATGAAAAACCAAGAGCGTGGGAAAATCCCCAGGGCCGTAGGAGGAGTGTTTTATCCAACTTATGAGCCGTTTTAATGCAAGTAAATACCAGAAAAAAGAAAACATCGGGATATCGTATATCATAAAAA